CAATGCCAAGTTACTGCTCAAACCACTGGATCATCACCCTGCCCCGTGGCTGACTTATCAGAAAAGGAAGAGTAGGAATAGGGATGGGGATAGACACAACGGACGACGCAGTTTCTTGGCTTGGGAGCTAAGTTAGGGCCTGAGTTAATGACTGACAAGTGGCCTGGGGGCTGTTGGACTCACGTTTGTGGGTGGGTGTATCCCTCCTCTATTTATGCGCTGTCTGCCCTCTTTCTCATAACAGAGTTGATGAGCAACCAATTTGTAAGTAAACAGGGGCACACAGGTCTAATGGTGTTTGCATGCAAAAGATGCACTGAGAGATGCCCCATGGAGTGTGGGGGGGGGGGTGAGCAGGGGCGGCTAATCGGCCCAAAGTGAACAGTTCATAATGAGGAGAAGAATAGTGATCCGTGCGAGCAAACTAAAAATCCCTGCTGCTCCTGAATCTGTGCGCACCGACTGCAGAGTGGTAATTAGGAGGGAGTCTGGATGTGGAATTGAAACTGTAATTATGAAGAACTGCTAGATATTACAGTAGCATCATGTTTAATGCTCTTCCCCTACCCCCCACTTTTTACCCCCTGCCCCTTTGATTAATCACTGTTTTTTTCAGAAGTTTAAATTTGGAGGAAAATGTTTGGAATTATCTGGGGTGTTTCGTGGCTTTCCTTTTTAAGCTGAGGCGTTTTGAAGTTGAAATGGAAAATGGTTTATTAGACTGTACATGGAAATGAATGGATGGCAGGTCTGAGAGGGACTGATTTTCAATTAAAAAGCTTGCAGCATGGCGGGCTTCGTTATCTCTTGCGTTGTATCCTTACCATGCTTTGTGGACAAATGCAGTTTTTACTTGAAGGCTGCTGAAAGTGTGTGTAGAGGAAGGGCAGAGGGCTGTGGGGAGTGGAGAAAATGGTGGGCTGGAATGTCCGATCAATATGTTGATCTGCCACTCTCTCTCACCCGTAGATGCGACGTCACTCTCATAATGAAGCTATCACAGATCTAATCAATTAGAACATTGGGCACCAATTCCATCTTGAGGCGAGATTCTGCGCTGCGCCTCTTGGTGGCTCAGCCCAGGGAGGAAAGTGGCTTTGTGAGTTAACTTTTGCCTCTTTCTCATTCCTCACTTGGTTCTATTCCTTAGTTTCTCTTTTCTGTCTGGTTTCTGTGTTTTGTTCTGTGTTTGTGCAATGCCTATCCCCGTGAGGTCCTGGGCCACAACTGGGTTTCTCTCATTGCCCCGTCCCTTCCTACCTCATGTCGTTACTTGCATTTCAGTTTTTCTCCTTTTCCTCTCATTATCCTTTTACCTGACCTGTCCTTGGGCCACTGGTTGGCATTAGAGCTATCATGACAGTCAGCTAAAACTCTTTCCACCATCACTAATAGAGAAGAAATTCCAAAAGGCCATATATCCCCTTCAGTCCATGGCAGGCATCTCCTTGACGTCAAAGGAAGCAGCGTGTGAGGATCCAGGGCCTAGGTTTGAAGATGCAGAGCAACTGGGCTAGAATTATACGTGTCTGAGGGGAGACAGCTCAGGTAGAGTCTTATACAGTAGATGTGATCAATGGTGAATAGGACTTTTTGTCTTTTTTTTTTTTAGCAACATTTGAACTAATATACCTTTTAAAGTTAGCATCTTGCCATTATTTTGTACATATGTGTTTGTTTTTAAAATGCTTCTTAGCAAAGTAATAGATTCCCTGTAACCTCTTGTTATGTTAAAGGGCTATTGATTGTTTCCAAACAGGATAGAATACACTTTAGGAACCATGGGTCTAGGAATCCGAGGTTCTATTCTGACACATCGACGTGACCTCAGGCAAATCACCTAGGGTACGCCTACACTGCAAGACCCGTGGCCCAGCTGCAACTGGCCTGGGTCAGCTGATTCGGGTGCCGATTTGGGGCTATAAAACTACAGTGTAGCCATTCAGGCTAAGGCTGGAGCCTGGGTTCTGGGACCCTCCCGAGCCGAAACATCTATACTGTAATTGTATACCCCTACAGCCCTGGCACCATGAACCCCAGCCAGCAAATGCTAGGCAGACACAGGTCTTCTGTTGCCGTGTAGTCGTGCCCTTACTCTTTTTGTGCCTTCGTTTCCCTGCAAAAATGTTCTGAAGCAATCAAGATGGGTTGCTCTGAGACCTAAGTGCTTCTCAAGCCTCACAAGAAAGATGCAGTCGAGGTGCAAATCATTGGAAGGCTGGAAGAGGTTTGGAAGAGTGATAGTTGCGTAAATTAGCTGACCCCTTAGGCCTTGGGTCAACTTTCAAAAGTGCATTTTTGGAAATGCTGTCTCTTGTATAGACTAGGATTTTAGGTGTGATCTGAGCAGGCGTTGGCAACCTGTGCTGATTATCATTATCATGGTTTAAAAGTGCAGCCTTTGACATGTGCTAAACCAGTCAAGTTAAAAGTGAGGTTCCCCACTAGACTTTACTCTTGGCCAATTTAGCACATGGTCACTGCCTTGCCTGGACTAGACTTTTTTTTAAAGGATTACTTAGCGCCTGTGAGTAGTCTAGTCATGGCTCCAGTGAATGCCCACAAACATCTCTGCAGTGCATAGAGGACTGCTGAATCTTTGTTAGAAAAGGAAGCGCACGAAAGCGGTCTCTGTGTTGATCTCACCCCTCTGTTTGCCTGGTCAAGTTTGCTTTTGATCTGACAGCTCCTTTCCAGACCTGCCTTGGCAGGAGACACATGCCAGGCTCTCATAGTTCGTGTTCATGTCCGCTTATTAATATAAAGATTCCACTTCACACTCGCTGGAGTAAACCTTGCATGATGCCTGTGACAGGTTTTGCAGTAATTCAGTTGTAGCGCCAATCTCATGCTAGATCTCTCCGCTATGGCTACCCCTCTAGCCTTTTCCAATTTTTCACTACAACAGTCATGAATAAATCACCAAAACACATCAGATTGCTGGAAATAGAAATACCAGCGATAGGGCCCAGTTCAGTAGTCAAGGAGCATCATTCTTGTACAGCAAGCCAGGAGCTCTCTGTGCTCTCTCGCCATTGGCCGCACATCATCCAGCCTGCCTTGTCATCAAAAGGTCCCAAAATGACTGCAAACCACCAGTGCACAACTTCACTATCCCTTGCTTTTAAATGTAGAGTGTGCTCTACATACCTTCCAGCTCAGAAGGGAGGCAATTTTACTGGATATGCTGCAAGATGAGGCACCAGCAGTGTCCCAACACATGAGGCAAGAGCTCTCGTGTATGCTGGAGATGAGCCCTGTTCATTTTCACTAGTGGTTACTTGATAATGGAAAAAGCAACAATATTTGCTCTGCTAGTTGTTTCTTCCACCACAACCAAGCTGCAAGAATCAAGCAAAGGCCTGTAAGCTCTTATTACACCAGGTGTGTTACCGTAACCAACTGCTCATAGTCCCATATAACCCTGATTAGTGTGCTCTGAACGCCTCTGCCCAATCTTGCACCAGGAGACTGAAGCCACATAGGGTGGCTACAGAGGCTTTTCCTACCCTCCGCGTGGTTAAAAGGCTACAGCCCACTTTCACTGCTAAACGTAGGAGGTGGGGGAATGCACTCCACTGTCTGGATGGTCATCAGACAGAAGGACCTTAGTCTTCCATTAACATCTACTTTGGTGGCTACTTGGCTTTGAATTCAAACCTTACCATGATTGGATGCTGCTGGTGTCCCCCAGCCCTCATCCTCTGATATGTACCATGTTCTTCCCTCGCCACCTTCTTTGTTTGTTTTCACATTGTCTTTATGGCTCTATATCTAGATTTCCTTCTTCAAAACCAAGGAGAGAGGGAGAGAGGAGGTGTTTGGTGAGGGGGGTGGGATTGTATTGAACAAGAGGCGACTGAGTGATAAGGTGGGAGTTTGTGGCTTATGTTGTTAAGGGAGGGAGAGAGAGAGACTGTGTGTGTAAAGATCCATCTTAATTCCTTTCTTGTGTTGTGTTGGTTCAACTGCACATCTAGGCATCGTTTAGTCCTGGAGTATTCTAAAAGCACTGCAGCTTCTTCCAGAAAGGGGTGTCTTTGGAGTCATTATAGCCGCTGACCGAGAGCCAGATCTCCTGAGTTTTATCTCTAACTCACCTACTGATTTCTGGGTGCCATTTCCATATGCTGTTAGGCAGCTACATGCTAGCTTTTTGTGCAGTTATCTGCTTGATGTGCATGCACAGATGTTTAAATACCCTGTTACTCCCACAACTAATTTTTGCATCAGCAGAATTGTGCTCACAAGATTGAAGGATGCTTTTAAAAATTAGACCCTTGGGGTGAAATCCTGGCCACAGTCACATGATCAGGAGTCTTGCCACTGACTTCACTGGAGCCAGGATGTTGCCCCTTCTCTCTAGGCCTTGGTCTACCCATTTAGAAAATGGGGATTCTAGTGCCTATCTCACAACAGTGTTGTGAGGCTGGATTATTGTGAAGCTGAGAAGTTTGGCTCAAAGGATGCAAATAACTATCATTCAAATCAGTGAGGTCAGAAACTCAGCTAGAATTAACAACAAAAATCTAAAAACAACCCCCCCTAAAATAAAATAAATCAGTTTTTTACTTTAAAATTAGCCGTCTTAATTTGGACATCAATTTTATTTCTGGATGGCTTGTCCGTTTTGCAATTTAGTTTCTTTTATCTTTGTTATTATATTAAACCCCCTGCTAATAAAATGTCAAATTAAAAAAAATTAGGATCATTGAAATTGCAGAAAACCAATAAAATAAAACCTTACAAGAGAGGCAAAAGAAAATTTCCATCATTCTCTCCTTAACCGAAATCAAAATTAGAATGTTGTTAGAAATTTCATTAGGATGGAGCAGATTGGTAATGAAATTACATTCCAGCTTTCTGTATACTCAATGTGTTAAGTAGGTTTGATCAATGATGTTCACACAATTAATTTTGTTGATTGCTGAGGATTACTTTATCGGCAGTCGCATTTCACACTCATGTGGGTTGTGGGGTTTTTTTGTTTTGTTTCCAAGGTAAATTCTACGTGATTCGAGTTACATGACAGAGAAGCAGGACCGAAGTCCAGTTATCCAAGCAATCTCCATCAGACCTTGACTGGTACCAAGGTGAGGATGTTATTGTTGTTAATCTTGTTTATAATGGTAGTGTCTAAGAACCAACTGAGAACCGGGCCCCAATGCGCCAGACATTGTAGTACGCAGTCCCTGTCCTGAAGAACTTACAGTGTAAGTAGACAAGACAGACATGAGATAGGAGAAAGCTGGCTGACGTTAAACCCAGTGGTGATTGTGCAGATAAATTCCTTCACCCTATGCAAAAAACATATAACTCGTGCCCCATGAACTCCAACTGTTCTGTTCTATCTATATGGCTCTCATCTCTATAGTGCCCAAGTATCTCATAATCATTAAAGAGTTTTATCCTCCCAACTCCCCCTGTGAGGTAGAGAAGTGTTGTCGTCATTCACAGAGGTACAGGGTAGATTAAGTGACTTGCCCATGGTCACGTAGGAAATCTGTAGCTGAGGTGGGAATTGAACCTGATTCTTCTGAGTCCCAGACCAGTGCCCTAGCCACTAGGCCATCCTTCCTGCTCCTGTGTAGGAAGTGCTATGACTGTGTTGGGGGAAGAAGCTCTATTTCTTGCACTTTCCCTTAACTTTTCTTGTGGGAGGGAGGCACTGGACTAGCAGATCATGATTCAGTTCCTGGCTCTGTCACTGACTAGCTCTGTGACCGCGGGCAAGTCACTTAATTTTTCTGTGTCTCAGTTCCCCAAGCTCACAGTAAATGATGACAATACTTCTCTATCTTACAGGGGTGCAACGGGGATGCGTTCATTAATGTATGCGTGGCCCTGTGATACTGTGGTGATGGGTGTACGAGCAGATGGAAAGGTAAATCTGCAGTATGAGATAGCATCAGTGGTAGGGGGATTATGTGGTCTCACATAATACTGATTCCACTCTGTATGCATCCGAAGAAGTGGGCTGTAGTCCACGAAAGCTTATGCTCTAATAAATTTGTTAGTCTCTAAGGTGCCACAAGTACTCCTGTTCTTTTTATGTGGTCTCAGTCAGTTTGCCTTTCCATGAAATCCCATGTGCCCTGTCCCAACTTATTTCGGTATTGATGGGCACATTTCAAACAGTGCGCTGCATTTCTGTAGTATGAGTACTCCCCATTATTGAGGTCGATGGGAGTCATGCTGTTAAACCCACAGCACAGCTCTCTAATCTTGGCCCTGGAGTGTCCAGATTTTCTTGGATTTTTTTAACTAGTAGGAGGCCCCAATTTGTCATTGATACTTTTGTCCCCACGCAGCTGGGTCATCCTGATCCTGCAGCATAGCGTTTGCTGCTATTGTTACCGCTCTGCCGCCGGTGATCCGTAACTGGCCATACCTAGCTGTTTCTCTTTAACGTTGGCCTTCTGCCCTCCCCCTCGGACCATTCATATACAGGGAATGTTCCATAATTAGTGGAACTTCAGCCTGGGAAAATGCCATTATTCCTGCCTAATAGCAGGAG